CTGGATTTAATATTTATATTTAAGTGTAGATTAAAGAAATCCCCATGAAACCCCTCAGAGCCATAGAGCGACATAAGTATGTTTTTGTGTTCCTTGAGACCACTATACTTGGGTGTGCTGCAGAGAGGATTAGAAACATTGACTTGTATAGGGGAGAGGGGAGAAGCAGTAATATGCGTGCCTAGCATCTGGAGAAGCATGTTTTCTGTTTGTTACGTGTTAGGGAGGGTGTGGTGCCTTACATTTACTCACTATTTTGATCTTTAATACTTAGATTTCTGAGCTCTGGCCACCGAAGCATATAGAGCCTCTAAGGACTTGCATTTCCGAGGAGCAGGCCACCCTGTGTGGCTGTTAGTGGGATTGCTCCCAGGCCTGAGAATGGCTGGAAGTCTTTGGAAAGCTTGTGGCCCAATGGTATCTATGAGACCAGAAAGATCTCTTTCTGGGAGGGTAATACAAAAGAGCCTTTTAGTGTTTACTGCCTGGTATTTCCTCCCTTCTTCACTTTTCCAGAGAAAAGTTTCTGTGGATAAGACAGAGAAGACAGGTGATCAGAGGCTTTTAAAGGCAACAGCAGGCTTGGCAGCTCTCTCTGAGTGTGTTGTTAGTTATAGCACTTGCTTGAGGATGTTCATCAGCAGGCTCTTGACTTGGTGTCTCAGGGAAACTCCCCGTTAGGGAAGATCTTTCAGCAATATGGCCAGCAAGAAAGGAAAGGAGGAGAGCTTTTTGCTGGGAGCATCTAAGGGATTTGGTATCAGTAGTCATAGTTCTAAAGATTTGTTATGAAAAAATAATTGGAGCAAATACATGGGGGGGTTGTAGACCAAGGGGGTACTTGTCCTCAGAAAGGGAGGGCTGTTCATCTTGCAGCTGTATCAATATGATTTAATTATTTCTAGTTATCTTTTATGGGCTTGTAAGACATTTCTTTTGTTCTGTGTAATTAAAAACCCATTGTTATATCAGTGACTGACTAATTATAATAAGTAATTTGAAACATTCTTGATGAAACTTGTCTGTTAATTAACATAAACACAGCTCAGGGAAACTACCAGGACAACAAAGGTTCTGGGCATATGCCATTCCTGGAATTGATGAGATTTCTCTGGCATGCCTAATAAACTGAGATGCCAAAGGTTAAAAAAAACAAGCAGGTGGGAAGGTCTGTCTCATCACCAGGGAAAAGTTGTAAAGTTGCACAAAAGATTATTGGAATATTACAAGCATGGGGAGGGTTGGGATGGACCAAGTGTCAGCAGGCTGTTCCAGCCTGATAGCCTGATGGCTCAAGAAGGGAAAAGGTTATCCTTTTGTTTTCTGAGGTAAATTCTTAAAAGCATTTGTCCCATGAAGACACCCTTGGTGAACCAAAGTATAGCACTGACATATCATGGTGGGGGTGATTTGTAGTGTAGGCTCTTTGATGCCTGTCTTTAAGGGTGTTCACTTTTACTAACTCAGTGGCTTTTCTTTTATGCTTTTTAGATTTCTACCTGGACAAGGCCTGGTACTACACCCACAGATAGGAGACAAATTGGATATTATTTGCCCAAAAGTGGACTCTAAAACTGTTGGCCAGTATGAGTATTATAAAGTTTATATGGTTGATAAAGACCAAGCAGACAGATGCATTATTAAGACGAAGAAAAAAAATCCCTGCTCAACTGTTCCCGACCACACCGAGATGTGAAATTTACCATCAAGTTTCAAGAATTCAGCAACAGCATCTGGGGTTTAGAATTTCAGAAGAACAAAGATTATTACATCATATGTAAGTGTAATTCTCTCTCTTTATGTTCTAGGCATTGGGATAAGCTAACTAGGTTTGTATTGATTTCTGTTTAATTTAAATTAACAAGGTAAATCAATTGTTAAGAAGCTTTGTTCTTTTTGTTTTTTTCAAAATAAATTAATTGAAAATTGGGGCCCTGTAGTGACAGTATTAATTAAATATAAATACTCAGCAGGGGCAAACCTGCCAGGATTCTTATGGTATTGAAATAAGTAAATTATACGAAGGGACTCAGTATCTCTACTGAGAAAAGGTTTTTATAGGTAAATCTGTGTGATGCTTTTTCTCTCCGTCCTTCCATCTGTCTGTCCAACCGTCCATCCAGTCATTCATTTAGTGTGCATTCTGTTCCAAGAACTCGGTTTCAAAGTTAGGAGTAAATCATTTGTTAAGAAGCTTTGTTCTTGTTGTTTTTTTCAAAATAAATTAATGGAAAATTGGGACCCTGTAGTGACAGTATTAATTAAATATAAGTACTCAGGAAGGGCAAACCTGCCAGGATTCTTATGGTATTGAAATAAGTAAATTATACGATGGAAAAGAGTAAAGTGTAGGCGTGCTGCCTGAATGACACCCCTGCATCTATCATAATAATGTACCATTATTTCAGGAGTAGGGGATAGGTGTTCATTAGGGTATATCTGAAGTGCATTTGTGAGCTGTGCCCATTGTGATGAAGATAAAAAATTAAAGCAAAATAAAACACTTAAAACAAAAGCCAAGAAGCATAGACAGAAATTTGGAGGGAGAAAAAAGAAGACAAAGTCATGTTATGTCCTAATGGAAAAGAGTAAAGTGTAATAGTGCAGCCTGAATGACACACCTGCATCTGTCATAAAAATGTGGCATTATTTCAGAAGTAGGGGATAGATGTTCATTGGAGTATATCTGAAGTGCATTTGTTAGCTGCGCCCATTGTGATGAAGATAAAAATTAAAGCGAAATAAAACACTTAAAACAAGAACACTTTACACACAAGGAAATGTCATGGTCAAAACGCAAGGCAGAGCTAAAAAAAACCATAGACCACCACTGTAAATGTGTAGACATGTCTCCCGAGCCATGTATGCAGGAAAGGCCAGACCTCAGCAGGGTTTTCATGTCACCTCTGCCACTGTGACAGGGACCCCAGGCCAGGAACCTGATGGTACCACCTGCGTGTAGCACAGTTATGAACACCTCAGTCGTCTAGGAAGTTTCCGTCTAGGAAGAGACCTGACACTCAAAGGCATGAGTGTCACAAGTGCCCTACAAGTTTCCTAATCCTCACTTCCTTGTGACCATTACCTTTCATTTTGGTACTTGAAACAGTTCCATACAATTTTCCTGTTTCTAACAACCGTTGGTAATGAGTCCTTGACAGTCTTTTCCAATGTCTTTTCACAAGTTCCAAGTTAACTTAAACAGGAAAACTGTGTTTGTTTAGAGTGCTGTATTTTCCCCAGTATTTTCCACTCTTCCCACCAAGTTGACACAGCACTACCTTCCCCACCTCCATCTCTTTCTTTCTTCCTTCCTTTCTTCCTTCCTTTGATACTTCCTTTCTTCCTTCCTTTGATACTTCCTTTCTTTCTTCTGTACTTCTTGTCTTCCTCCCTCCCTTCCTTCCTTCCTTCCTTCCTTCCTTCCTTCCTTCCTTCCTTCCTTCCTTTCTTCCTTTTTTCCTGGGAGTGTTAGTTAAGGGGGTAAAATATTGCAGCTTTTTAAACAGTGATGTGCTTTCCATTACGTTCCACCCTGTCTCCACCCATGGACTCTGGATGCTCAAAAAAATATTGAAAATAAATTTCAATTCTTTTAGAGATGTTTACCTCTGGGGGTGGGGGTTGGACATCCTCAAGGTAAACCTTAGGAACTCAACACAAACACTTTGGTTTAGAAAAGGCACTGCCTACAAATTAAAGTATACATAAATATGCCTAAAATCTCTCTCTCTCTCTCTCTCCCTTTGCCTTCCACCCTCTCTTCCCCTTCTCTCCTCTCTCTCTCTCTGTGTGTGTCTCGAGTCGCTTTTCTTTTATGCTTTTTAGATTTCTACCTGGACAAGGCCTGGTACTATACCCACAGATAGGAGACAAATTGGATATTATTTGCCCAAAAGTGGACTCTAAAACTGTAGGCCAGTATGAATATTATAAACTTTATATGGTTGATAAAGACCAAGCAGACAGATGCACCATTAAGAAGAAAAATACAAACCTGATCAACTGTTCCAGACCACACCAAGATGTGAAATTTACCATCAAGTTTCAAGAATGGCAGGAGACAGACAAGATGCTCCATCTCCTTGCAGCTTTAGTTACAAAGCCATTTAGAGAATTCACTGGCTTAAGAACAAACAGCAATATGTGTAGACAGAACAGTTTAGACAGACAGAAAGACATTGGTAGAAGGGTTGTGCTCCCCCTCTCCCCTCATTGTTAAAGTGGAAAAGGAGCCCAGCTGGCCAATGTGGGGCAAGGTGGTTGCCTCCAAGTTGTCCGAAGACCCAGACAGGGAAAGGGGTATGCTAACTCTCTGTCTAGCTGGAGTTTTCCCTAGCAGGAAACTTGCTTATTTTTTTGTTTTGTCCATTTTATTCTTAATCAGCTACATCCAATGGGTCTTTGGAAGGCCTGCATAACCAAGAGGGAGGGGTGTGCAAGACAAGAGCCATGAAGATCATCATGAAAGTTGGACAAGGTAAAGATCAACTGCTGCTTTGTGACCCCACTGTGAGCTGGTACAGCCCCCCAGCTAGTGTGGGACCTGGGGTGCCGCTCACCATCACCGCTCTTGTTAGTTTTGAAGGCAGACCATTCTCTGCACTTTAAACCACTGGTAGAGTCCCCCAAAGCAACATACTCAGTTTTTCTCATTTGTGATCTCTCTAAAGTTCAGGCCAGTGAGACAGGGTGTCTGTGTGCTCCTACAGATATGTGTATTTCTCTTTACAAAGAACACCTCTTTGAAAAAAATCAAAGTGTCTAATACATAAACACTGGCTCTGCTGCTTTGTTTCTTTTTCAAATCTGGACAACCCAAGAGCTGCATTTTCATGTAGAATAACCTATTGTGCTTAAAGAAAGAATTATTCTTGTAATTAGAGACTAGTATAGCTGTCAATCAACTTGTTTAGTGAAATTGAAATGTCATCTGGAATGCTTTGACTGCCAAATGCAAGAATCCCTGTAGTTTCCACAGATGGCCTGCTAATCGAAACCGTAGAGATTAGTATAGCTGTCAGTCAACTTGCTTAGTGAAATTGAAATGTCATCTGGCATCAGTCAAAATGCTTTGACTGCCAAATGCAAGAATCCCTATAGTTTCCACAGATGGCCTGCTAATCAAAACCTAACAAATAACTAGGATAACCATTCTGATTAAAAAGGAAGGTTATATTCTTGTATTTCTCAGTGCTTTGAATAGAGAGTCTTATGTTCATTGCTGTTCATGCCTCTTGAGATGTCTTTGCAACTCCTGAAGCTTGCTACATTGTAAGATGTCTGTGCCATGATTAATCGCTTCTTCTTCATGTATTGGGGCTGTGTGTCTATGGGGTGTATTTTTCTTAGAATGCCTAGAGACAGAGGAGCCTCAAAATACATCCCAATCAGTGGGATTCACTCGTGGGCACAGATTCCTGGGGTCTTTGCTCCCAGTGAGTCAGTATTAACTCTGACACTAAGACAGATTAATTCAGCCCGTTCAGTGTTTTACAGTCACAAGAGCAGAGCTCACCAGGTGTGTCAGTTACTGATGCATCCTGAAATGTTGAAACTAGGGAAGTTCCAGATTGGCTGTCTAATCTTTAGAAAGTGGTTGGCTTGGTAAGTGAGTGTCGTACCTTTGAAGCTCCTTTACCTCATCTGGTGAACTGTTGTCCAGTTCACCCTGTGAGTTGAGCATTGGCCATGCTTACTTGTTTGCA